TATAGAGTATAAGTAGTTCGAATCAATATGATAGTCTATATTTTACTTGATTGTCAAATGCAATTGTAGATCATTTAAACGATATAATCATAACAGATACAGGATAAGTTTTACGTAGTTTTTACTTTTTACCTTTTCATTGGTTGTCCTTACATAATCATCATCTTTATATTTCATGTGCAAGAAAGTGACATTTTTTGCCTGAAATAATTTCAACAGATTGTTTATTTTCAATCTTTGATGTTTTACAATGAAATAATGTCAATAAACTATTCTCGTCAGTAATTATTAACCATTTATTAGGTGTTTCAGTTTGTCAGTAGTACATATTATGCTTACTATGTGACTAATAACTTAACCAGTGATATTTTTTAAGCTGATATGTAAAAATGAATTCGTATTATTCTTACTTCGATGATTGTCCTCATAAATCTTGAATCAATAATGAGAACTATCTATGCATACATTATTCCCATTCATACTGTAAGCATGTTACAAACCGATTCTGTTCATTATTCATAGTTAAATTTGTGAAGAAAAAAATTGGCAATAAACATATTCAATGAAAATATATGTGTTAAATAATGTTTTTGTACAATTTTTTAAACGTGTGAAAGTACCAATTACAAAGATGGATGCGCACTATTGAGTAGTCCTATACTGAGACGAAATGGCTGTCCAGTAATTCCAGGTTTCCCATGACCTTCAAAGCTTTAATCGACTCATGAATTCAACTATTAAAGAATTATCATAATTGACTGGAAATTATTTTAGCGCATAGAAAATTTATATGATCTATCAAGTTAAACTTTATGCTTATTTGTGGTAAATGAAAATTCGTGGATTGGTTGAAGTTAGATATTCACACCGTTGGATGTCAGCTCAGTGGTCTTGAGGTTAATCGTTCACTTGTGAGATCGATAGGTCCTGGGTTTGAATCGCGCGGGAGGGATCGTGGGTGCACATTGCTGAGAAGTCTCATACTAGAACGAAATGGCCGTCTAGTGCTTCCAGGTTTTCTATAGTGGTCAAGCTTCAATTGACTCATGAACTCAACTATAAAATGAAAAGTATCCTTGAAAAAAATAAAATATATGATATTCAAGTGTGAAAATAAAATCAATGTTATTCAAGGTTAAATTATACAAATAATCCTAGGTGAGTAGAAACATTTACAGCTTTCAATTGTAATAGTGAACACTTCTATGTTTTATGTGAATTGATCGACTTTTGGATAGGGATTTTAATGAATTGTAAGTTTTGATATACTTTACTCTCTTATAATGAATATTGGCTTGTAAACAGATCATAGATTTCAAGCAAATCATTCTTTTTAAAAGGTGGTACGGTTTGAATTTGTCATAATTGAAAAAAAAAGTACATTTTGAGATTGAATTTCATAAATTTCTCTAAACGAACGAATGCTAAACACTGGGTAAAGATGTGATGTCTTATTTGTTAAGAGGTCAAACAATACCTTTAAATGAATTATTTTTTATAAGGTTTTTAATATGTTGGATGTTTTTGTTTTTATTCTAAATTTTGTGCTGCGCTACATGACGCATCCCGTGCTAATTATACTTAGCTTGGTCATAGTGAAGGTTATTGGATAAAATAATAGTAATAACAGTTACCAAGAATGTGGGTTTGGCATTCAGTAACTTGTGTTACTTTTTTTCTCAGTTATTTCAATAACAGTTTTCACCTAGCATTCTTATCCAATATAAAGTGTCATGACTAAAATTACCTCTTAAAAAATCTGTTATGTAACTGATTTAGAGGTGAAGTACAATTAATGCTACAAGATCACGAAAGGCACGTTATATCTCTACAGTTAGTCGGGTATATTGTTTCTGACACTTCCCAACAAGTTTTATTCTTCGTTTAAGCTAATTATCCTTTTAAGAGAAATGAAATCTGGTTTGGTATGGTATAAAATAATGTAGTTACGTAAACTTTTAAGTATCTAGAAAGCAATGGTAAATAACATCTGTGCATCGAGTTGACCAATGATGCCGTTATACAATTTATTATGTAAGGGACAGTCACATGAGTCTTCCAGTATGCTTTAGATCATTTATACACAGAGATGTATATGTGGTCTCGTTATTGTAAATGGATGCTATAGATAGTCGTGGTAATGAATGTCAAGTAATGTTCGTTTAAGTAAAATATAACTGATAATGACAGGTGTAACAAAAGCCAAGACTTTTGTCATGCATTATGTTAGTTTTTTAAAATCTATTTTAAAAGTAACTCATTAAATATCTAAAATCATCTTATACGCCTTTCACATGTGGAGGGGTGTGGAAAAAGATTCTAAATGCAGTTACAGTGCAACATTCATATATGACAACTAGTTCGAGAAGAAAATTTCAACATTATGCAAGAACCACCAAGTAAGAAATAGTGATTGGGATTTATTTAAACTGATTTGAGATGAATGGAAAATCTAGTTGGTCAGTTGCACTTGACACTCATAAAATAGCATTGCGAAATAATACCAACATCATTTTTGGAAATACGCACAAACAATTGAATTTTCAATTATATAAGAGCAACATATTCAAATGGATTTAAAAGATTTATTTATTAGAAACTATTAGAAGTTATAGGAAGGCAACAAACTTTCTAGAACAATCTCTGTAAAAAATAATAGGCATTAAAGACAGGTTTTTGTTGTTAATGAGCTCCAACAAGTAGTTACTATTTAAAAAGATACTTGCATCTGTATTGTTTATAAAAGTCAGATTTTCATGCAATACGTTGTGTTTCATAAACGTTTAGTGTATACTCTGAAGAATGTACTAAACAATCTAGTCTATTTTCTGAAACATGTTTTTTCTAATACTCATATATAAATATACATTCTTTAAACTTATTAAAACAATGACTTGCTTAAAGAGAAACAATGCATTTGTAGAGTCTCAGTGAAAGAATTTGAAGTAAATCCAACGTTTCACCTAACAATCTGGTCCAAGCTTTTTCAAGGAAATATAATCAGACTTATCGAATATGAATAGATACATGGTTCTCTGGTTCAATGTAAATCTCAGTGAATGAATTTGAAGTAAAATTATCGATAATTTTGATGTTTGATCACATTTCCCTTGAGAAAGCTTGAACCAGATTGTCAAGTGAAACGTTGAATTTATTTCAAATTCCTTCGCTGAGATACATTCTTCCTCTTTAATGTCTCACATCAACTAGGCGCTTAAATAGTGTCAAATCATTCGATCAAATTTAAACGGAAGTTCTTGTTTAAAGATCAGTTTAGTTTAATCAAGTTAAGATTTTTATGAAAACTGGTTGTCTGGCGAAAAGTGAATATATCTTGTTATTTGTAATGGTTTGGATGATTCTGTCTTTTTTAAAATTTTAGGTAGCTTTATATAACTGATGAGCATCTTCTGCAGATTGATTCGATGTAGCCATTGTATCAAAATTTTCTATTAAACTGATGGAACGTGTCTAACAGCGGAATTCAGAGAGTGAGTTTCGTTGTAATTTAAACTTACCAAATGAGTGTGTGTGTTTGAATTCAATTATTGATGTTTGGGTTGGTATTAAATTTTATCACCTTTAGTTTACGACACTCAACTGATTGTACATTGAGCTATTGAGTTCAAATAGACTCTAACTTGTATAACGTGTATAAGTTCTACCATAACCCAATCGACTGTCGATTTCTTTAATTGTATATAGACTGATAAAAAACTTTGTATTTCGAACCAATTTCATAGTTGATATCATGAGTCAATTGAAGCTAGACTAGCATGGAAAATCTGGAAGCATTAGATTACCGTTTCGTCCTATTGTGTGATCTTCAACAGTCCTCACACATGATCTATCAGTCTTGCGCGTGAATGCTTATCCTCGAGACCACTAAGTTGACATCTGACAGTGTTAATATCTTACTTGAACTAATCCACAAAAAAGAGCAACATATCCACATTCCATGGTGATCTAGCTGCAATCGACTTATGATCTCAGCTATTAAAACTACTATAATATTCAAAAAAACCTCTATTGATAGTCATTTCATAGTCACTTTAAACAAAATCATTCTGTTAAGAAAGAATATCTATTTCAAAGTATTAATTTATTGCTTCATTTAGTTTACAAAATTACAAGGTATATTTTATTATTGTTCAAATAGTTTTTATTTCATATTTCATATTTTCTTTAATTTTATATTAACACTTAATGAATACATGTATATATCTCTCTCTCTTTATTCCCTTTAACCAGCCCACAATGAATCAACATAATAAGTACGCAAATCAAAATCACAATGATTATTAATTTCTTTTTTGTTACTAGTCTGAAAAATGATAGACAAATATGTTTTTTTCGTCGTTTTCTTTTTTCTTTTTTTTTAGAGAAAAAACCAGAGAATATACATTTTACAAAAAGTCAATTGAGACAAATAAAAATTGTCTTCAATGTTCATGTTCTATAATCAATGATATTTTTATTACTTTTTATATATATTAATAAAACTAGTGAATCAAGTATAGTTGATATGGGGAAGAAAAAGAAAAAAAAAAGGGAATAAACAAAGTTTTTACTTTATAACCATGACAACATCAAGTAATGAGTATTAATTATTAATTATCAATCAAAATAATAATCTTTGTACTTTATTTTATATTGACAATTGCTCTTTTTGTAATGTATAAATAGGTTATTATTATTATTATTATTTTTTCTTTATTTTTTTAATTTTTTTTTCAATTTCACAATTAAAAACAAATAGAAAGCGGAATATTTTCTTTTATTAAAATATGATTGGTCATTTCTAAGGGAGAAGCAAAAACATAGTTGTTTATTATTATAATGATAATAATAAATAAATAAATAAAGTAACTATTCTATGATATGAAAAAAGAATATTTCCCTAATTAACCAATCATAAAATTTGATAAAACTATATAAATATGTCTAGTGTATATTTAATGTAATATCATGCATAACGTGATATCATAACTCTCTCTCTCTATATATATATATATTTACATAGAAGAATTATTCATAAAGTGAAGTTCATTTTTCTACTCATTTTTCCCTATAAAACATCTAATTGTTTCATTTACTTCTTTCATTCATCATAAAACTATTTGTTTATTATTTAATCATTATAAAAGAAATTCTTTAAAAGAGAAAAAAAGCGAGAAAAAAAAGAAAGAAAGAAAAACAAAAAAAATACAATCACTGTAAGATTATTTATACTGTATGTATATACACATATATATACAGAGTTTATTCATCAATATGAAACAAATCATTGAAATTATCACTTTTCTGATTTTATGTTCAATGGCTGAATATATGCCAGTTGGTCAAAGTGTTTCATTAAAACAGGTTAGTGATTATATTTATTATTATATAGTAATTTTTATTCTAAGTTTATGTTTTATCATTTGCTTATTATTATCAAAGTCAAATATTTATTAATTCACTGTCAATAGGTGATTCTTGTAGTATTTTATATTTAATCTGTTGAATAGGTAGACGTTTTTACAAGATCTTGTTTTCTAGTATTTACTCGAAAGAAAATGTGTACGCGCACATTTCAAATGACTATTTGCCAAAGTAAATACTTCCTTTTTTTCCTATAGATAAATATATATATGTATGTAATTCTGACCATTTGAAACGTATTGAATTTCGTTTAGCTTCTAAAAGTTTACTAAGTGAACTAGGTTACACAACTCTTAATTATGTTACGATATGTTTTAAAATGTCTAATTGTTCATTATTGTAGTTTAAGCAAAATAGAAAAACAAACAGGAGATCTGTTACTCACTAAATGCTTAAGGTTGCAATTTCCAAACTTTCATTTGGAATAAATGTTTGCATAATTTTATTGCAACAATGTCCAAGAAAATGAAAGCTGAATTTATTGATGTTGCTTTATTCGATTTCGTTACACGCACATATATATATAAATATACGTTAAAGAATATGATGATGTTGGGTCTACTGTTTGCTTTTCCTGAATATTCAGTCCCAATCGATTAGTTTATTCTTTTCTATGCTTTTAACATTTGTAACCATTAAACCATAAAAATAAAAGTTTTTTTCTTCAAGTGCATATACTTAATGATAAAATTGTCAAGTACAAAATAAATTTACACTTATGTAAAAGTATCAGGAATGAAGTATTTTCTCGAAAAAATGCCAACTATTTGTAAATAATAAATAAATTCTCTATTTTTCGTAAACAAATAAACAACATTTTCTTCTCTAAATTATTCAATTCTTAGGCAATTAGGTGTACAATACAGATATATATATATATATATATATATATATATATATATATATATATATATATATATATATATATATATATATATATATTGATTTCTAATAGGATATTTTAAGGAAACTAAAATATTTCCGCTTATCTAAATGAAAAGAGTAAAATTTGGAAAATTCATCAATATACATAATGATAGATTGAGATTTATTATTAATAATGACTTGATTCAATTTAATTAATGTATAGAATTCTTAGCACAATGTACTTCATCAAGTTTGCTCTCTTTATTTCTTCATGTATTCTGACAAATTTACCACTAGTTAGATGTTAGCAGTTGAAGAATTGAAATCTGAACAATAATCATTCTTTTCAATGCATATTAACATTCAACAAAATGTCGCTGATTTTACTTTTTTTTGGTATGTTTTACAGTGAAAGATTGTAAACGTTTCATAAACACGCCTAAATAGGTTATGTAAGTAAGTGACATAATGATGTGTTAAAACAAACAAAAGATACGTAACTTATTGAGATATGTTGATATCAAAAACAGATAATCAAGCAAACTGCTAAATTATATTCCATGTAATTAACATTGAATTGACAAGTCAATGACTGGATCAAATCCATAATTTGGATTTCATCGGTAATTATTATTTATAGCATCAACAAATATTTAAAATTCCACAATTCAATATTCATTATCATCTATATGAAAATTTATGTATATCAACAATAATTATTGTTTTATACATAACAGAATCTAAACAAGACGTTTACCGTTGAAAAGTAAACAAACAAACAAAAAGAAGATAAAGGTTACTTTACATTGTTTACTACTAAATGGGTAATACCATAGTTACAAGTAAAATATCAATGATAAACAAAATTTTTTAAACTTTATACACTCATCCATACGTTCAATATAAAGTTTCTTTTTTCTTTTTATTTTTTTTAATTGAAATTATTTCAAATAACATATTTAATAAATAATTGAAAAAAGGAATGATAAAATAAATTGAACCTTAAACAATATAGAATTCACCAAACAAGCCAAAAGAAGAGGAAAAAAAAGAAGTATTATTGATTATTCAACTATTTTCAAATTGTTCTCTATTAGAGTTTATTAACGTATCCATAGGTCAGTTGAAGCTAGATCAACATGGAAAACATGAAAGCACTGGACGTCCGTTTCGTCCTAGTATGGGAATCCTCACCAGTACACATCCACGATCCCGCCCCCCCCGCGAGATTAGAACACAGGACCTATCAGTCATGCGCCAGGCGCTTAACTAACTAGACAACTGAGCCGGCCGGTATCAAACGGTGTTAATGTCTAACTCCAACTAATCCACGAAGTCGTGCCACCGTGCACCATTGCCTTCAGTGAGTTGATATCTCACAACAGACCTTGTTGAACTCTACTGGTAACGCCTTCTAATTAGAACTCCAAGAGTATCTCTTGAATTCAGTGACTAGTGAGTAGATGATTATTATCAGAAGGAGTTTTGTGGAGACAAAACGTCTGTCCAGTGCTTTCAGCTTTTCCATGGTGGTCTAACTTCAACTGACTCATGATTTCAATCAGTGAAATTTCTAAAATCTTCACAAAAACCTCTTCGGATAGGTGTTTAAAAAAGTTGTTTTTTTTCGAAAAAAAACAATTTTATTTTATTATATTAAATTAGTTTTAACTTATACACATGGAAATTCTTAATTAAAAAGATGGAAATTGAAGAAGAATATTAAAACGTAGTTGAAATTGAATATATTCAAAGAGTCTTATTCAATTTATTAAAATAAAAATGAAAATCTATTGAAAATAATTTAATTTAATAATCTAAATTTCCAAGAAGGTAAATGAAGTGAAAATCAAGACTTTGAATATATTAAAACTAATGAAATTTAATTACGTTGTTCATATATATATTCGTTCATAACCTTCATTGAAATTCTATCCTTATCAAACTGGTACTATTTACTATACAAGAAAAAGATAATACATTTAGAAAGGAAGACATTTTATAGATGTGTATTGAGTTTGATGTAGTGAATATGATATAGTTCAATGATACTAAAGAATATGAGTTAATCTTCGTTTACTCATCGAATAAATAATGATTGGAACACATTACCTGAATAAATGGTATCAACTTCATTGATGAACAATTTTAATGAAAAATTATTCTTACTTTAGAAAATATTCTATAAATATGAACATAGATCGATAGACCTAATATTCTCTATGCTAATGATCAAATAAAGATTTAAGAGGATTATTCACTAAATAATCATAATAATACGACTTCATAACTAGTTTTGATATTATCTGTATGACTTTAATTTTCTTTTTGTTGTTGTTGTTGTTGTTGAAAGAAAACATAAATGTCAAACATTCTTTCTCATTCATAAGTTGTTCATTTCAAATTGTAATAGCTCATTTGATGTTGTTTATTGAAAATGATGATCTAGCGCATAATAATTATCACTGATAATCGATTCACATTAATATTTATTATTTTGCTTGATCAATTAATGAATAATTTACGATCGAAATTATAAGAAAAAAAATACACATATCAACATGGTAAATTATTATTGATTAATAGTGTAGTGATTTATTCCCCCCCTCCAAAAGAAAAGATATTCTGCTTTAATACACTGTGAAACGATAAGATGTGGTTTTGAATAGTCATTTTTGTGTTAGAAATAATGAAAATGAAATTTGTCTCGAGTTTTCATTCAGTTTAAATAGTTTGAGTTGATGAAGTGTAGGTTGGTGATGATGTTTTATTAGAAAGTTGTCAGTTGCATTTGTTAGTATTTCACTATTAATGTTCAAAATTGTATCAGAACCTAGGAGTTTTCGCTTCATCATTAAGTTACCAATTAGGCATTACACTGTACTGGGATCTAAATTCTCTTTGTAATTGTTTGCATTTTTTTTGAGTTGTTGATGTTGACGATTGTAATTTATCAATCTCTTTTAGTGTGTGTACATGGTGATTGAATCGTCTCAATATTGCCATTTAATCACATGTTCTGTATTAAAGTGGAATAATGGCTATCATTGGAATTCGAATCCTACCAGATCATGAAACAATAATAGTTTATTTGAACATTCGTCATTCATAATCACTTCATCATTATTGAAACAGACGATATTAATGAAGTTTCCAAATAAACTTCATATCCATCGCACAAGATAGTGTCTATTCGAAGTCTGCTAATACGAAAAACATCAATGAAGATAATGTAAATTAATATTTTATCCTAGTTGTTGAAAACTGAATAATACTTGTCTTATTTAGCGGCATGGGTAAAATAAAACTGAAAAATATTATTATTGTTATTACTTTAACGGTCACTTCTGTTTAATACCGAATCGTAGCAGTTTAAAAATGGAAAATGGATTACGGTTGACATGAACAAATGTACTATAATAGTGTTGTAGAAAGTTTTGCAACTTCATTTATTCATAATGTCCTTGTAAAGAATAACTGCCAATATGCAAGTTGGCTCTTACTTCTTTGAAAGTGATAATAATAAACCTTAAAAAGTAGTCTCTTTTGCTTCATAAATCATATTTGTTTGCATTAATATTGATGTACTTAGTAATTAATGGTAATCAGAGACAGTCTGTAAACTTTGGTTATATGTATGATAGAAATTATTACTAGTTGAAAAGAGCTTTGACCATCAAAAGTCTCATTTCTTACACAAAATTTAAATGTTCATCAGCTATTTTATAGTAAACACAATATTGCTTTGAATTCATTGTTGTTTTTGTATAAGATTATTCCCCTTACGGATCTTAAGAAATGATTCTATTTGTTTTCTCTTTTTTTGTTTTTAAATTTAGTTTGATCCAGATAATGAAGCACTTATTAATGAATATTTTTCATCAGAAAAAGTCGATGAAGCTGCTGAACATTGTTTACGTTTAATTGGTAGTAAAACAATTGTATCACATAATAATCATAATTATAATAATAATGAAAATAATTTAAGTTATACAGCACGTAAATTAAAATGGAGACATTGTATTCTTAAAGAATTAGATCGTATTAATCGTGGTTTATTTACATGGAATATTGGTTCATTATTTAATTATCATAAAGATATGAATACGGTAGAATAAATTCAATAAATAGATCATTATTAAACAAATTGAAACATCAAAAAAAGAAAAAACCATAGAAACAAAAATACTTCAAAAGAGACTATATTTCTTTTTTCCACCTCAAAAACAATAATAATAATCATAATAAATGAAGATACTACTTGTAAAATTGTAATGAATTTTATATCTGATAAATATTATTCTATATAAATTTTTTTTGTTTTCTTTCTTTCTACTATTTACTCATACATGATAATAATATTATTGATATAAACAAAATATTTACATTTTATTTTATACTCCCTCCCCTCGATTCCATTTCATTGATTATTAAGTATCTAAGTTAAATGTTTTGTCACCTTTTTTGTTTACTTAAAGAATAAAAAAGATCAAATAAATTATTGATCATAATTAGGAATAATAAGTAGCTTTTTATAAAATATTCATATGATTGAAAGTTATCTAAAATCTTATAAATTGAATAATAGAAAAACAAATAGTTTAACATCACAAGATCAAATCGGTGAATCTTAATTGATTCCTAATTTATTCATATAGTTTTTTTATAAGCTTTCAGTTTATCATATCCTATTTGTTTACCATGTAGTTTCTCTTGTCATAACATTCAACTCATTATACATTATCTATAGAGCTAATAATTTTTAATTTATTTGTATAAATAACCTTTCTATATTGTTTAATTTAGATGCAGATATATATATATATATAACTCATGGTAATAAATATTAAGTTTTATGTAGATATTAGTAAAAAAAGTCCAAAAACTAAAAGTCAAATAATTGGAACTCGAAGAAAAAAAGGTGATTCAACTAGACACATCTCGTGATTTTTCACCAAATCACCTCCTTTCGTACGCGTAACAATTGTTTATTTTGTCTATAGTCGTCACTTATACAAAGGAAATTATAAATGTTACATATCTATCTATCTATCTATCTATCGGTTAACTGCATTTATAAAAAAGACTGTAAACCTATTCACTTACAAAGTATATCCATTAACCAGATCTCTTTAAAGAAATGTCCATATATAAACATATTTCTTCGGATAAAAATATTATAGAAAAGAAAAATTATATAACAAAATGTTATATATTTAAGACACTTAATTATAGACATTTAGCATATGGTATAAATTTCTCCTTTTCTTAGTATTAAGATGAATGAAAAAAGAAAAGATTTATAATAATAATAATCATAATAATGAACTGATCTATCACACTGATGACTAAATAGAAGAACACGTGCCATAGATGAAGTAGATTGAAAGAGAGAAAAAAAAAGAAAGAATCAGAGAAACAAACAAACAAAAACAAACAACGAATTAAGTAATAAATAAAAAGAAATAATAATTAATTTGTTTTAATGTATAAATTTAATATTTTTTTAGATTAATAGAAAATCATAGAATTACGGTTAATTATTTATTCTTATAGTAATTTACATTGATTTAAATACAAATAGAAAAAGTTATTATTATTATTATTATCAGAAGGGGTATTGTGGAGAGTTTTAGAAATTTCACAGGTTGATATCATGAGTCAATTGAAGCTAGATCACCATGGAAAACTTGAAAGCACTGCATGGCCGTTTCGTCCCAGTACGGGACTCCTCACCAGTGCGCATCCATGATCCCGCCCTTCGCGAGATTCGAACACAGGACCTATCAGTCATGCACCAGGCACTTAACAAACTAAACCACTCAGTCGACATTCAGTGGTGTTAATGTCTAATTTCAACTAATCCACGAAATCGCGCCACCGTATACCATTGTCTTCAGTGAGTTGATATCTCACAACAGACCTTGTTGAACTGCACTGGTAACGGCTTCTCACTAGAACTCCAGGTGTATCTCTTGAATTCATTCACTAGTGAGCAGATGATTATTATCAGAAGTGGTTTTGTGGAGATTTTAGAAATTTCACTGGTATATCATATAATTACAGTTAATTATTTATTCTTATATTAATTTACACTAATTTAAATAGAAATAGAAAAAGTTGTTATTATTATTATTATTGTTGTTTACATAAATATGTAGTTTAATGACTATGATGATAAATGATTTTTCGATTTTCCACATCATTTCGTGCATGAGAATAATAAGTCCTGAGTTCGAATCTCACGAGACGGGATCATGGATGCGCATTGTTTAGTAGTCTTACAATAGGACGAAACGGTCATTCAGTGCTTTCAGGTTTACCGTGATGTTCTAGCTTTAATTGACTCATGATCTCAACTATTGAGATGAATATGAATATTGTTTGACTTTATGACTAAATTGGTACACTATGAAATTGGATAATATTGTTAATTAAGATTGATTATCGTACTTTATAATTACAATTATGAGTAACATTCACTACTTGCTTCTATCAAATTGATGGAAAAAGGATCCGTTGTTCTATATGTATAATATTCACATTACTATTATAAAAAAATAACTTCACTTGATATTGTTAACTTGAATCTTCTCTTTGATGTTTACGACTGTAATTGACTAGTTCTCCTTGACATATGTGCATTCCGTGTGGATTGGCTCGATATCTTCTTAATTCACAAACATTATAAGCAAAGATGGTTAGTGACTAGCAGTGAAATGCAGGAATTTATTTTAAATGTTAGTGAAAAATTCCTATATTCTTGAAATAATACAGGTTATTGAATGAGTTATCTTTAGAGATAGAAACAACATATATTATGAAGATGGTTTACTTGATGAACTGATTTCAGTTAGACAATAAATGAACAATACTGATCATTAAATCTCGTAATTGTTATAGTTTTTGTATGTACACAATTAGTTGATCAGGTTTTCAATAGGATTCAAACTTTTCAATCATATAGTGAATTTTTAATTTAACATAAAATAATCCATATTTTATACTTCAGTCAGTTTTCAACATCATGTGAATGATAAATAAAGATGAAACTTAGATATAAAGGCCGTTTTTGACCATGTGCCAATGTCTGTTTGATATTAGTTTAAGAACTATACATATTCTATACTTTTAGCATGTAGAATTCGTCAATTCTTCCTGTGTGTACCCGGTTGTTAAGATGACATGAGATACTGAAAAAAGTTATTATAAAAATTGCTCGAAAAACCGATATTATTTTAAAAAGTAACTATTTAATTTTAGCTCTTACATAATGGTTTTATTCATTTACATATAAATGTCTTTTATTTATATGCTTAGAAATGTGTTATGTATAGGAACTCGAAAAAGAAACGGTTATTACTATTACTTACTTACTTACGCCTGTTACTCCCAATGGAGCATAGGTCGCATATCAGCATTCTCCAACCCACTCTGTCTTGGGCCTTCTTTTCTAGTTCCACCCGATTCTTGTTCATTTTTCTTATGTCTATCTCCATTTCCCGGCGTAATGTGTTCTTTGGTCTTCCTCTTCTCGTTTGGCCTTGAGAATTCCATGTGAGGGCTTGTCTTGTGGCGCAGTTGAGTGCTCTCCTCAATGTGTGTCCTATCCACTTCAAGCGCTTCTTCCTGATTTCTTCCTCCGCTGGAATATGGTTTGCTCTTTCCCACAGTTGGTTGTTGCTAATAGTGTCCGGCCAACGGATCCGAAGTATTTTGCGTAAGCAACTGTTAATAAACACTTGTATCTTCTGGATGATAGCTTTCGTAATTCTCCAGGTTTCCGCCTCGTACAGTAGAACTGTCTTGACATTTGTATTGAAAATCCTGACCTTGGTGTTGGTTGACAGTTGTTTTGAGTTTCAGATGTTCTTCAGTTTTAAATGGTTATTACTATACATACCATAAAATCAAATCTATTCTATCATAATTTATATTATTGTTTGCTTCTATTTATAGCTCAGTTTTACACTTCTACTCTCATTTCTATTACATATTAACAACAAGTGAATGTTTTAAAATTTAAATTTACCTAAAAAAATAATTATGAATTATTTATTGTAGTTACTAAGTTCAAATTACACGGGTTGTTTTTTTTTCTCTCAGCGATAATAAAACTACAAATGCTAACTATTATGCAGCATTAAATTATTCAGATAATTTGATATTTTTCTTTGTTTAAATCGATATTGGCAATTTTTCAATCTTAATGAAATGGTTATCAATGTACATACAAAGAAGGCGAAATACTACAGTATCATCATATAGATCTCGTAAATGTTTAGATCAGGATAATAGAAATCTTATAAGATGATTTTTGTTTCAATGAGACGGGTTTTTTTTAAATCTTTTTAGTTTGTTTAAAATATCACCAACCCTAATTGAAACCATACTTGATAGTTAATTATCTTCAATCGATTTCTGACCTTTTTTTCTAAAAAGAAAATTGGCTTGTCAATAATATCTAGAATTAGATACACTTTATCACTTGCTGTCACCTTAGAAAATATTTGCTTAGAAATAAATTCATTATCCCAAGAATTTTTTCTGTTAAAGGAACATTGAGTTTTATTAAATATGGAGGATAATGGTTATCGGTAGTATTCATTGTTTCATTCAGACACTAGTAGTCATTGTGGTGAGAGCTCGAGACATCATCTCTGGATTTGTGGTGACTTACCTACTCGATATGATGCCACTTTCCAGGAAAAGATCATATTCAACATAGTTAAAAGAAGATATTTTAACGTATAAGTTAGACGTACATACTATTTTAATTCAAGAGTTGATTAAATCTATATCACCTTGGAAAACATGGAAGCACTAGACGGTCGTTTCGTCCCAGTATGGGACTATTCAGCAGTGTGCATTCACAATCACACTCATGGGATTAGAACCCAAGATTTTCGGCCTCGCGCTCGAACGCTTAACCTCTAGACCACTGAGCTGGAATCTAACGGTGTTAATGTCTGACTTCAACCAACCCACGAAATTGCGCCACCGTCCACCATTGTCTTCAATGAGTCACTCCTTCGCACTAGACATGGCTTCTTATTAGAGCTCCAGGTAATACCTCTTGAAGCGTGCTAGTTCAAAAATCTTGGGTTGTAATCTCACGAGCGGGGTCGTTGGTGCGCACTATTGAGTAGTCCCATACTAGGATGAAACGACCTTCTAGTGTTTCCAGGTTTTCCATGCTGGTGTACCTTTAATCGACCCACCAATTCAAGTATTAAATTTCTACAATCTCCATAAAACCTTTTTCTAAAAGTATAAATATCGAATTAGCTA